TGAACTTTGCAAAAGCAGCAAATGCTGTTGCAAAAGCAAATCCTCACTTGCTAATCAGGATCAGGAAAAATGCCTGAGTTCTGTTTCAGTGTTGTGAACTATCAGCAGCACCTGTGCTTCGTTAGCAAAATAAAAGTTTACTGTTATCTGAGACAAAAACGTTGGAAGGGATAGGAAGGGGGGGGGGGAAGTGTGGTCCTTGAGACAATAATATCAAATCCCCTTTTGTTTCCTGGCTAGTGATTACAGTAAAACACTTTGCTTATGTTTCCATTCCTTAGACCATCTGTTTCAAATTAAACCCTTCTGGCGTGATACATCATTATTTATTAGAGCGTTACATTAGATAATGTAGCGTTAGTATTGCTGTTATAAACCCTTAGTTTCATGAGTATGACTTCAGGGGTAGAACTAGATGTGTTTACTTAATGAAAGGGCTAGATACTGCGCTAATAAAACTAGTTTACCAGTTCAGAAATTACTTGTTTTTAGGGCTTTCCTTTCACAAAATTATTTTTTGTATATCTTTTGATTTGTAACTCTGAATGTGTTTGGTGGGGTGAAACCTGGTTTTAAATAACTGAAAGGTAAGATATTGAGAAGGACTCATTGATAACGAACTGTTAGACACCTCAAGCTGAAAACACAGTGCCCTGTACGTGATGGGGTGACATCCATTTTCATAAATCTGCAATGCCCTGTAGCATTCAAGTCATGCACCCATGTGAATTGAGAGCAACTGAAGATCTGGCAGGTAACACCCCCCACCCCTGAAGGAGGTTTCTAAAAGTTTTTAGTCTTGCCCTCTGTAGCGACTCTTTTCTCATGCTTTTTGTCAGATGCAAGGCTTCATAACATCAATACACAGAACACAGGCTTTTATCCTAGAGCTATCCTGTCATTGCAGTCTCAACCATTTTGGGACAACTTAAGAAGTACAAGACCTTCCAAGGAGATTTGTTTAATTCTCAGTGTTAATGAGACTTTAGTCACAGTGTACTGAAGAGGAAAGAGATTCAGTCACAGGAAAGAAGGGCCGTTCCTTACAGCTGTATTTGAGATACTTCAGTTTACCAGTGTTACTAAAGAAATTTATTTCAATCTACTTCATTTAGAAAGGTGGTGATTGTGAGTGTAAAATTAAAAAAAGGATTAATCTTTCATGATATAAAGACTTTTTATGCTCTAAAGTGAAGCCTCATTTTAAATATATTTATAGAGAGTGTGTCTAGGGAAGAGGACAAGAATTTAATCCTAAATGAGCTTCTCTCTTATTATTTTTCTGGTCAAAAGAAAGGATTCTCTGAAGGATCCTAGTGAGTGACAACACCTAGATTCAGTTCAAGATCGGAATCACTGCTAATGTGTGTGTGTGTATATCTATAATCTATATCTATATCTATATCTATATCTATATCTATATCTATATCTATATCTATATCTATATCTATATCTATATCTATATCTATATCTATATCTATATCTATATCTATATCTATATCTATATCTATATCTATATCTATATCTATATCTATATCTATATCTATATCTATATCTATATCTATATCTATATCTATATCTATATCTATATCTATATCTATATCTATATCTATATCTATATCTATATCTATATCTATATCTATATCTATATCTATATCTATATCTATATCTATATCTATATCTATATCTATATCTATATCTATATCTATATCTATATCTATATCTATATCTATATCTATATCTATATCTATATCTATATCTATATCTATATCTATATCTATATCTATATCTATATCTATATCTATATCTATATCTATATCTATATCTATATCTATATCTATATCTATATCTATATCTATATCTATATCTATATCTATATCTATATCTATATCTATATCTATATCTATATCTATATCTATATCTATATCTATACACACACACTTTCTTTCATGTCAAAATTTCCCTAAATTTTGTGCTTTATTTAACCAACACAGTACTTGCGCGGTTGTATTTACCCTTCAGTTGATGTGGTCAGATATGGTCAGGAAGCCACCATCTGCTTCAAAATTTATTTTTTTTAAACCGGTCAAGTCATACAAACCAAAGTTGCTTAAAAGCAGTATTCTCTCTTGCTCTATAAAAAATATGTATTAAGTGAGCTTAAGTAGCATCATTTTATAACCCAAAAGTTTAAACTAGTGTATCATTTAAATTTTGGGTCCAAAGCAGGCCAGGATGACATCAATATTTCCTTTAAGAAAGCCAGCAGTAAGTCCACAGTATACGTCTGAATACATTTGGATCAAATGACATAATGTTTCCTTTCTCTCTCTCTTTCTCTGTCTCTTTTGAGAATAACTTTACAGTTGGTTTTTTTTTTTTTTACATTGGGAAGGTGATACATGGTGAGTAAATGCACTTGGGGTGATGGAAAAGGCTTTTAAAAACCACATTTTCCTTGTTTCAAATTACCTTTTACTATTCCAATTGTTTTGTTTTAAAAAAATGCCTGAAAGTTCATAAATTTTGCTTGCCAATTGCAGGCTTGAGACCTGCCCTTACTCTCATCCAAACACTGACTCATCCCTGTAGTGATCCAGGTCCCACATAGAAACCAGAAGTTCTTCATATTCCTCCCGTAGTAAAGTTAACCCCAAGAGCTGCTGTTGCTCCTGCTGTTGCCACAAGGTTTTTCGGCCTGCCAGGGTAAAGCAACACTGTTTTCCAGGCCATATCTGTACAGACTTTTCTGTCAACCGTACTGTTTTTCTGACTTGCATTTTGCTTTGTTCTGGTCACAACATAGTTAAGAGGCCACCCTAACCTTGGGCAACTTGCTTGAAGGTATCTCTGTGTCTAGCCACAGAAATGGGATATCCCCCTGGGAATCATCCCTCAGTGTTCAACCTATGACATCATAACACAAGCATTTACTGTTTTAGCTAACAGAATAATTCCATTAGTGGGTACCATCAGTAGGTTGTTATCCTCTTAGATGGATTTTCTGCTCACAGATGAAATACAACACAATAAAAGTGGATTAGAATAGTAGCCATATGAATATATATAAAAAACAAAGAGCAAGAAGTTAAGTAGATATTAATGTAATGCAGGTCTGTATATTCAAGCTAGTGGTAACACTTCAACAAATTATTTTTAGGGTTTTAAAAAAAACTAATTGAATTGCAAGTTTTACAAAATGGTAAACATAATATAATTTTAAAATAACTTTAGCTGGACTTGAGCAAAATCTAAGATAATCTCAAAAGACTTATGCACATAAAGTGTGTAAGGATGGTAGTACCTAAAATAAGCAAAAATAAACTGAAGAATGGGAGCATAAGCACAGGAGATTTCTAATGGTGAAGTGTTATCGCAGAAGAATGACATCCAAAATGTGGCACTGAGGCAAACAATCAGTATTATCCATTTTCATTTTTGAGCACAATGAGATCGCCTAGATGTTCAGCAATACATTTTTGCTGAGGAAACAATTTTTGTTATTGCCTAACAACAGTCTCAAACTTTTCTGGCAGTGGACTGAGTTTGGCTCTGGTTTAAGTTGGTGCCACTGTTGAGCACTTGGCAAACTTGCCTCTGTCTATACCGGGATTTTGACCTCAAGTGTAGGATATTTGTGCAGTTGTTGCACCTTTAATAGCGCTGAACCATATGATTTCAGAATTCAGTTTAAGCAATTGAGAGATTTATCAGGAATTGCACTATTTGTCCCATCCAGCTTCAGCCTGTCCCTGTCTCCAAGTGGATGATGGTATCTGGTGCAGGTTTTTCCTTCTTTTGTAAGTTATTTGAGGCCACATATGGTAGCTGGAATTCAGGTTAGAGGGTAGGCTGCAGGGGAAGAGGTAGGATAAAAGTGGGACAGTTAATGGAGAATGAGAGTTATGAGGGATAAAAGACAAAAGGTGTTATGGGGGGAAAGATTTAGAAGTCACTTGCAGGAAGCTAGGAGACAGAACTGGGGAAGAAGTGTGCTATTTATGGGGAACTGGATGTGAAGTTTTGAAAATAAACTCTGGGCTCTTGATAAGAAAGAATATACACAGTATAAATATGCCGCTTGCTTCTATGATAAGGGCTAATACTTCCAAGATAAACTAAGGAAAAATAATCAAATTAGAATTTTAGAGATATATAAGAAGAAAGAGAAAGCTGAGTACCTTAAATGTAGAGAATGAGGCAGTCAGGAAAGATAAAGGAGAAGAAAAAACATGTAGTCTGTAGCAAATTTTCATCAGGGTCTCTGATTCACTTGTCTGACCCCTGAGGGCCACTGTTGATCTGTAAAATGTCCAAGAGCCAAGGACCTGTACTACAGTGAGGTCTCTCTGTCTGCACCATCTGTGTGTGAGACAGAGACACAAAGTGGTGGACAGGGGAAAGGCACTCAGCTGGAAAAGCTGAAAAGTGGTTTAACTTCTTTAGCAAAAAGACCATTTTTGGGGGGCAGCCACAGCATCCTTGTAGTTGTGCCACAAGTCCTGCAGAACGATGGAGCCTGTTAGCACCACACCGAAGCAGAACAGATCTTTGTGTGCTTGGGGGAACAGGGTTTTATTCAGTTGTTCTGGAGTCATTCACACTGAGGGAAGTTGTGGAGAACTGTCTACCCAGCTGGCGTATTAGTGGAATAGCATGAATAGTGCAATTTGTGGGGAATGTGGGTATGGAGACAAAGCCTGAACAGGTGGATGGGAATGATAAGAATGCACAGTTAAATATGCAAAGGCTGAATAATGGCACCTGTAAAATCAGTCAGCATCCTGAGATCCACACCCTGTAGCATTTCTGTCATCATTTGCAAACTGCTGAATTTAACAGGTAGAAATTGGTGCTCAAAAAAAAAAAAAAAAGGGGGCTCAGTTCTGCTTCTCTTTCCCCAGGGCTTCTGTTGTGAGTTATTAAGTCAGTACCATTGCTCATCTACGGATAATTAACGTTCCAGTTTGACCACATAGTTTCTTCTGCACAGCACAATGATGGTGGAGCTAACCGGGATCCTTCTCCTGAAGCAGTCTCCCCGTGAAGCGAGGAGCAGCCTTCAGGCAAGAGAGGGCCAAAAAGAGAGGGCGCCTTGGGACGAGGCCGGGCCGGGCACGCCCAGCCCTGGCCGAGCCCAGCCCAGCGGGGACTACCAGCATTTCCTAAAGCCCAGGTTCCCGGTTTCCAACGCCAGGAGCTCCGCGCTGGCTGTAAGCGGGTGACCTCGAGCTCACCCTGCACACACGCCTCACCTAGGCAGCGGCGACCTGCCGCCCCTGCGGGAGCGCTCCCGCTGGCACCTGCGTTAGGTGGTTAATTAAAGCAAACAGGGCTGGCGGTCACCTCCCGGCCCGGCCCCTCCCCTGGCTCTCAGCGACCCGGCCTGGGGTAGAAACCGGTTTTCGACCGGCCGGGCAGGAGCCGCCGCCGCAGCCCAGCCCTGACCCCGGAGCAGCCCGGCTGCGGGAGGCTGAGCTGAGGCCGGGCTCCAGGCCCAGGCCCCGGCCGTCGCCAG